ATATAAATAATTAGTACTTCGTGAAAGTCATATCATTTTTGTCGAAGTAAAATTTGAGGAGAGAGTGAAAAATAAATAAAGAATGACAAGTATTTAAATTTTAACTCTTTAAACTTGTTAAAGTTATTTAATATTATTACTAAATTAAAAATATAATTAATATTCAATTGATATAATATATTTAATTTAAGAAAGACAATAATTTCAACATTTTATATGATATTAAAAATTTTAATAAAGTATAAAATCTATGAGCCTGGTGCATATTATAAAAAAGTAGGGTTGTGAACGATCCGATTCGAGTCGATCCAGAAATGACTCGAACTGAGATTGAAATAGAAAATTGGATTGTGGTTCGATTTTTGATCTGGCTCGAATCGGAACTTGGTTGATTGCGAGGAGGCTCAAATTATAAACGAGCCAGTTTGAATGTTTTTTTTTTTCGGCTCGTAAGTGTGGTCAATCAGACTCAAAAACATTCAATCTGGTTCAAACAAAAGACCGATTTGGCTTGAAAAAGAGAATAACTCAGCTCGAAATTGGATGAATTACAAATTTACAAGATAAACATAACATACAAAAATTAAATTATATATAAGTGACATAACATAAGATTTTTAGCTTAGAATAACTCAGCTTGAAATGGGATGAATACAACTAGATTATGGATTATGGCATAAAACATATATCATATATGTGGAGTAAGAAATAAAAATAAAGAGCTTTTGCTATCACTAAAACTAGAGAAATACCCAACTCCTAAAAAGAAGGAAAGAAACAAAAGAGAATAGAAAACTAAAATTTGAGCTCAGATAGAACATCCAGTTTCACGAAAGATAACACATCCAAGTCATTTTCAAATTCAATTTATAAGAAGTTCAAGTCTAAGAAACTAATATCAAAATCATTGTGATTGGAACTGTAAAAATATATTTTATCATATTTCAAAGAGTTTTGTATTTCATGACAGACATTTACCACCACTATAAGATATCAAACTCTGAATCAGAATATTTAGCACAAGTTTCTTCTAAATGTATTTTAAGGACAAACTTTTGTGGAAGTAGAAGTCCAATTGAATCAATGAAATCATACAATAATCCAATTAAATAATCAAATGAACTATTACTGTTTTGTGTGATGATTAATGCCCCAATTTGATGGTTGAAGGTATAGATGTTTCATTAAATTCTTTTCCAACATGTTATTTGTCCATAACATAATAAGAACACATCTCATAAAGTTTATATGTCATATTATCTTACTTTTCGTTGAAAATAACAATAACATAAATTTGGGGGTAGTAATAGTTAATGACGAATAATTTCATTCTATGATTCAAAATACAAGCATTTGAGAATAACATAAAACACTATTCAATACTTACTAAAATTTAACTTCACGATTTTTGACATATTAGATAGAAAAAGGAGTATCACATAAACACTCTCTATCTAATATTTTTTATAAAAATATTAAATTTCGCAGAAGCCTATTTATTGTAAGATAACTTGAAAAAAAAAATCTTAATTATTCGATAAAAAATATGAAATAATTTTTTGATCTTATCAAAAATTAATTCGAATCATTGTTAGATGACAATCATGCATTATTAAAGTCCTATAAAATATAAAAAAAAGCTTTGTAATAAAATGGAAAATATAGCATTTTTTATGTAATATTCCAGCGTGTTGGCACATCAATACATGATGAATTTATTGTTGACAAATCAATCCGCCTCGCAATGTCACCACGTTCGTGTAAGCGACTCGTGGATCATTTTATAAATTGGATCGACTCTCTTACTTTTTTAATCACCTTACCAATTTGCTTCAAGTAATCTTTCAAATATTTGTGTAGGACCAAACAACATCAAACCTTTCAAATATTCACCAATGCTAAATCGAAAAAATATATAAACATTTACCATAAAGAAGTAGAGAACTATAGATGCAACAGATGAGGAAAACCATAGAAGAAAAAATGCAAAATTGAGAAAAGGAGATTACATGATAGATCAACAAGAGGAGGTGAGGTCAAAGAAATAAAGATCAAGCAAAGAGCAAATGATACAACTAAATGTTTGTAGCTCGTCGGAATACCGGAGTTGCGATTCGGTACCTCACCTAGGGTTAGGGACATTAACAAGGGCAGGCGGGAGACCACAGAAGACCAGCACAGGCGACTTGACGTACAAAACAAAATTGAGAGCAACAGTGTGAATGAAAAGAATTTAGGGTTTAATGACTTAACTCTTGAGCCTTATTCACAAAAACCGTACTCCCGTATCTAAGAACCCGAGGGGTTGATCTCCACCGTCCATTTTCTAATTTTGATCAGATCGAAGTGCTGATCGAGTCAATCCAATAATAACTCGAAACCGGATAAAAAAAAAGTTCGATCTAAATGTTTGGCTTGCAGCTCCACTCATTCTAGTCATCGGGTCTCGATTCGAGCTTAAATTCGAATCAATTTTCAAACAAATAATGATCTTCGAGCTAATTTCTTAGCCCTACACGCAAGTAACAAATTTAAACTTGGGAAGAAAACCATGATTTCCTCCATTTTCATGATAAGATCAAACGAATTAGCAATACACGCCAAAGGATACAAATCAAATGGGAAACATCACACCGCAACAACAATAATGTATTCTCGATGTACTTCCGAATAAACGTTGTGCTATAGATTTCTTTTATATGAAACATTTATATACATATCACTCAATTCCTCTGCATTTATATATCTAACACCTAAACTTTTACCCATGAAAAATGTATTTCACATTTAAAAGTAAAATGATAATATTTTCTATAAAAGCTTTGGATGGTATAAAAATAAATAAATAAAATAAATAAATAAAATATAGATTCCATATACGAAATACATACAAATTTAGTGGTATATACATATTTAAAAGGTGAAATTGATATTTGGTCTAGTGGGCACCAAATATCGATCCCTGATGTGCTTGCTCCTGATTCGAAGAGCTCACGCCACAGGATTCGAATCCCTTACCTGAGAGATAGCGGTCAGGTATTCAGTCATGAGTTCCCTCGACCCTTACTATGGTTATCACCAAATAAAGATATATATAAATGAAAGCCGATCAACATTAAGGAGCTCACCTACCAAACCGCGAGCTGGTTCCACTGAGTCATCAATTACAACGGATAAATCCGACGACTTTGCCCATGATTTGGTGCAGCTTAAAAAAGAGTCAGAACTGGCGGAGCAGCATACAGCATAAGCGCGCCACGTGTCCCATGCATTTCAGAAAGACCACAATCCGGGCTTTAATTACCACGTCACCGCTACAGCAAGAAGCCAATCTCGGCTTCAGCAAAAAGATAATTATTTTAATTAAAACAATATTTAATATTTCCATCTGCGAAAAGCCAACAAAAATCATGAAGATAAAATATAATTATTATACAACTTAATAAACTATGGGTAAAAAATCGTCTCGACAGAGGAATCCATTATTATTTAATAAAAAACATATTTTTTATTAGATAGAAAGTAAGAACTTCGCAGGAACTGATAATCGAAGATATGTCTTATTAGTAATTATATTACTGCTAACAAACAATTCTCTGCACGGCACGCATTCCAATTACTGCAGCTGTTCCACGAATTGACTCGACTCGTCGTCCACCTCTTCATCCTCCCGTTCCGCCTCTTCAGCCGCCGTCCTCCGCCCTTCGCTGTCACCCACCTCCTCTCCTACGCCGGTGACGACCACGGCGTCGAGGAGCTCCGAGTTCTTGCGCTTCCGGCCATTGTCGTTGGAGTAAAGCTGGTCCAGCTGGTGGAAATAAGGACAGGTCTTGGAGTGCTGAGAACGTTTCCGGCCACTCTCTTTGCTTTTGCGGAAGTATTTGTTGATGTTCTCCCACTTTTCCTTGCATCGCTTAGCGCTCCGGTGATATCCCATTGCCGTCATGGCGGCGCTGACTTCCTCCCAAAGTGGGCCTTTTAGACCCGGCTCTTGGAATTGCCCGTCCAGCTCGCTACGCACCTGAATCAGCGCCTGGACTTCTATTTTAGGCCACCTGCTCGTCGAGATAAGCGGAGGAGAAATAAAGTCGCCTTCTTTGTCAACGGCGTCGTTTCTCTCTGAGGAAACGTTGGGGTAGGATGGAAGGTTAATGGTTTCTCCTGTTATTTTTTCTAGGAAACAGAGTATGGCTGATTCACGTGCGGCGGCGAGTTCGCGGTCATGCGCGCGAGCTACGGCCTCCCGGCGAGCCCGAGAGGCTTCCTGCTCCCGCCGGAGTTCTTCCTGCCCAACCCGCTCCTTGTCACGCTGCTCCATTACGTTGAGAAATTTTTGATGCAGGGCTTCCTGGTGACCCATCAGCTGTTTTAGCAGTCCTTCGAAGAATGCGGCGATGGACTTCATTTTCCGCCGTCGCCGTCGTCGACAGCGGCGGGAATGGTGTTGGGCTTTCTTGAGATTTGTCTGAGCTTCTCCGCCGGTGGAATTGTCGTCTTCGAGGCGGTAGTCGAGGTCGAATGCTGCGGTGACAGGGGGTATGAGAGGGTGGTCGTCGCCGGTGAGAGCTGAGCCAGAGCCGGTTGTTTGATTAGCTGCGTGGGTGGTGGTTTGGTTATTGTTGGCTGGTTCGGTGGCGGTGGAGTTGCTTCCGCCAGGTTTGTAGATGGCTTCAAGCTCACTGAAGAGTTTGTAGTTGTTGCCTGGATGGGAATTCTCTAGCTCCTCTGTTACTCTGCTTCGCTGAGCGAAGTTCAGCTCGGCTGATTCCTTGTCCTTGCACCGCTTGTTGTTGCTGTTAATGTAGTCTAAATCTAATGGCCGCCTGAAAAGATTAGCAAAAAAAATATAATAGAAGTATGGTTTTTGAATTTGGGATCTCTGAATATAGGCAGAAGTAATTTACCAAAATGGCTCCTTTATGGCGCAGCTCTCTTCTTTATGCCAAGAACGTAACCGGCTATCGGAGGCATTTTCGTCGTGAAGAATGCCTCCGGGAATATCGTTGTCGTTGTTGAAGGTATGGCGGCTACCGCTGCAGCTGCTGTCGTCGACGGCGAGCTTAAACTTCATATCGGCGGTGAGAAAATGTGGCGGGCCGCCAACGGAATTCTCTTGGTCATGTTCGTGGTCGAGGAGGCGGCGGTGATCATGTTGGTTACTTTGAAAGAGCTGAAAATGATGGTGGTGACGAGGCTGAGGTGGCGGGGTGAAGAGCTGTTGAGTTATGGGGATATTTGAGTTGAAATGAGGGAAATGAGGCGGCGGCGGCGGAGTTGGCTGCGAGTATTGGCTGGGATGGCGGTAGAAGGTGTTGATTAATCTGTTGGCCGGTGCTACGGCGGCGGGATGGTAGATTTCATGCCCGGCGGTGGTAACAGAGTTAGGTGTTGGGGGTGTGTTGGAGGAGATTGAGAAGAAAGAATGGGTGGAGCCATCCACCATGAACTGTTGGATCTCAGACACTCCTCCGAAACCCGAATGCATTTCTCTCGCTTACCACTGAATTTTCTGCTCAACTTTCTTTCTGTCTCCCTCAAAATTCTCTTTTTATTTTTTTTTCCTCCAGTGGGGATTGAAACGGATGAAAAATACCCTCCTTTTAGATCAACCAGTTGTACTTCAGAAGCTGATCTCTTCCAATCCAGACGCTCTCCAGCTTACTAATGCGGCCTTATTTACTGTTTCTCCAGAGCTCCTCTTGCCTTCTAGAGTTAGCTCTACTGTTCTCATCACTATCCTCTCTCTCTCTCTCTCTCTCTCTCTCTCTCTCGGGGTTAAGACAGACAGCTTCGTCTCAGGGAGAAGAAGACCTCCTTGTACACACACACGCTCCTGCTCTTTGCTGAAAACACTTTACCACAAAGAAAGCAAACAGCTCTCTGCTCTCGTTCTATGTCCTTTGCGGCCTGTTTCAGAAGACTTCTAACTAAAAAGAAACCTGTAAAAGAACAGTAAGAACAAAACTTAGCTCCTCCCACCCACCCTCCCCCTCTGCTCTTCTATCACTGCTATCTCCTCCACCCAGTAACACACTGGCCAAAGAAAAGCTTCAAGTATGGGTCAGGGACCAGGGAGCAGTGATAAACACACACACACACACCCTTCTCTCTCTCCCCTCTTTTTCTATCTCTGGGAAAAAAGAGAGCTGGCGCTCTGAAAGTTTGTAGGGGCGGTACTGTGTGACGTTGGCCTTAGCAAAAGCAGGGAACAATCTCCGGACGCCAACTTATGAGCCGGCTCAATGCCTCGTTCTTTGCATCTAACTTTCTGCATTCCATGTTTAATTAAATTTGTCATAAAATTCAGAATACCAAAAAAGTTAAAAATTTAAATTTGTCTGAAACCAGAGTTTAAACAGTTGCATTCACAAGTATTTTTCCTGTGTTTAAACAGTTGCTTCAACCTTGCTCGATAGCTCTACAGTATAATCATATTAGTGTGATTTATAAGAAAATGTTTTAAAAATTGAATTTTTAAAATCCACATATCTGGTTTTTTTAAATTATTTGTATGACAAAATGTGGGATATGCTGTGTTGTAGTTCTATTTGTTCAGTTAATATAACGAATTAGTTGGATCGACTTGACCGACTAACTTGACTGAGAAGCTGTTTAGAAAAAAAATCACTTTCAAAGCTGATTGATAAGAAGTAGTTAAGGCGATTTC